GTAGAACTGTGGACCGATACCCTTTTGAATTCCTTTTAATCCCCACTTCTGATCTTTTTGATCACCCGGATTTGATCGCCGGTTATCATTTTATTTTTATAAAATTTTAAACTTTCCCTTTCTTGTTCCAAGTTTTGTTCGACTACCGTTTTCTTTTTTTACTGGTTTCTTGGCAATTCTTCCAGTTTATCGAAAAGAATTGCCATTGTTAGCTGGCGGGTGCCACCTTTTGGTAAGTTTTTATAATATTTTCATAATCCCGAGAACAAAAATTATAATTTAATAATAAAATAAATTTTGAAATATGTATAATTTTTAATATGTATAATTTTTAATAATAAAATAAAATTTGAAATATGTATACTTTTTAATAATAAAATAAATTTTGAAATATGTATACTTTTTAATAATAAAATAAATTTTGAAATATATATTTAATATTTGTTGATTCGTATTTATTGATGTTTATAAAAATAAAAATCCAATTATTATAATTATTGCTATTATTGTTATTATAACCATTATTATTGGCCATGAGCAAAATAATTTGCAATAAAATAAATTTGAATGATCGATTCGTAGTAATAAATAAAAAAAAATTTTTTTTTTTGTGAAAACGATTATAATCAATGTATTTTTCCGCAATTTTGCGCAGCATCATGAGAATATCCAATTTTATTGGTGGGTTGGGTGCATGTTATCCTTATTTAGAAATCGATTGGCGATTGCGGATATTTTTTGCAATATCCGTGTAATATTAATATGCTTGCGTGCTCTATTCGAAGTTTAGTCATATCTACAATATTACCATCATCGTCTTCTCCACTAACAAATATTTTTTTTTATTTCCGACTCGAATACATCATTATTTTTATTTTCAGGAACGCGGATATCAAAGAATACTTTAATACCAGTTATTGTTACAACTGCTTTCTGGCCATTAATGAGAGAGCCATATAGACGTAAAACGTAATGATGATATTGTTTATACAGTGTGTTTCAAAAAAAAGGGCGCGCACAATGTAAATTCATTTTGAAAATTTTGAGATGAATAAAAAATTTTTCACATGATGAAAAATGATTGGATATCTCGCTTATATGATAAGTAACTAACTACTTGCCAGAAAGAAAAATATAATAATGGTTCCACGAAAAAAATATATAATAGTTACATGTAAGAAGCAATCGACTCCAGTGAGTATCGAATTAAACTTGAAATTTGATGCTGTTATTGCTGAATTTAAAAAGGAAAAGGAAGCACTCATTGATATTAACTCCAAACTTCATACTAGGATTGAAGAGTTAGAACATGAAAGAAAAGGATTGATGCTAGAATTTGGGACCTAGTGACGGAAGTTAGTGAGCTAGAAATTACCACTAGGGCTTTAGATGATCAATATGAAGAGAACAATGCTAGAATTGTGAAATTAGGACAGACTCAAAATCGTACAATTAATTTCTTTAGTAATAACCTGGATTACTAAGTGCGATTACATAAAAGCATGATCAAATTTTTTGATTTGGGACCTAAAAATAAAGCAATTATAACAGACTCAAAAAGACGAAAATGCTGAGTTACTAAGATTAAGGATGAAAACAATGAGCTTAAAAAAGTTATTACTGAGTTTGAGATTAAAAAACAAGCTAAATACATTCAAATTAGTAAGGAGCTTCTTGATGAGGATCCAATAGTTGATTATTGTCCTTCTTTCCTGAATGGATTGAAGTTAGATGCCTCTGGCAGGAGGAGATATACTACACTCAACTAACCATTCATCTCAGGTAAGAAGGATTTTTTTTGTTGTCTCCTACAATAAATGTAGAAAAATTCAAATCAAAAATTTCGTGTTGTCACTAATGCTACACTATAATGGTCTCAAAAATGATGACGAATTCATAAACCAATCGGACCCAAAGCAGGAATCAAAGCAGTAATCAAAGTCGACGCAGTGGTTTAAAAATATGGGAAAAAACAAAAAAGCTGGACAAGTGCTTAAAATTACGAATCAA